AATATCACAGCCACTTAATTAATTTTAACATCTTTGATTTACTGACCGATGTAAGGACCGACAACTTTTTTTTAATAACCCCTTTAATATAATTAATAGAATCAGGCATTACTTTGTAATCGGCATTAGAATTTATGTAGGCAGTTAAATGCTCTACAAAACGGGTCTCGATGTTGCGACCAGTCTGATCCACGTAAACGACGAGGCATTCGTCACAAACAAGTTTGTAAAAACGCGACTGTTGACGAATATCTAGATTATCTTTATTATTACAGATATTTGAAAAAGAATTGTTTGTTTTGAACACCATGTAAATGCCGCTCTGTCGAAGAGTATCAGTTATTTTTCATATTCCATATCTGATTTGGTCAAACTCGACGAACACTTTAAGTTTCCTAGTGTTGGGGTGTTGGGAGTAGTGGTGCTGGAATTAGTGCTGAGGGGAATAGTGCACGGAATTGAAATAGAGCGAGAACTGCTATTCAAATAGATAAGACACATCATTTTATTTCAATACGCGGATATAAGCAAAATAATTTTAACAACTTTAATCCTCGTAATGCTGATGGTTGCAATGTGGATCGTACTTGAAACATGTCTTTTAATTATTGTAAGTTAATGATTCATTATTATCCCTCTTGATGATAAGTGATAATGCGGCCAAAGATGATAAAGCGCACTGACTAAGCTAAACAAAAGCTTATTTGATCTTATCTTGAAGACACCTACATTATATTACATATAGATTTCACTCCTCTGCTGTACGCATTACGAATGACGAAGCAAATTATTTGATTATCGAATAAGTGGTAGGTTGACAATGAAAGGACGGAGACTAGCAGAGCGTCTGATGGTCCGATGATGAAACGGAAAGGGAGGAATAAAGCCATGAAATTCGTGCCCAAACTCTACGTGATATATCTTGTAAAACACCGAAAGGCTGGCTGCTTTGCGCCTGTACTCGAGACTATTGGTACTAACTAATTTCGAGGATATGTGAAGCATTAATTATGTATGCACTAATTCTACACTCTGATGTTCTTCACAGACATGTACAACTTAAATCTCATGTATATGTTCATGTCCTTATATTCTGATATATATATATATATATTTCATTCGTATAAAAAGTGTACGTGTAAACTTAAAAGTACTCTCCCGCCGTTACTCGATGATATGATCAAAAAGGTTTAGTCTTGGATGCAGTTACTTACTCGAAAATACAATAAAACGCTCAGACCCAAACACAACAATTTGTGTTTTAGGTTTTTTTTTCGTGGGAATCTGAAGTAGATTGCATATCTGATATGTTTGCTCTGGCTGGAATTGATATCTGCGATCCCCGTTATAGCCAAGAATTCTGCTGATAAATTGAAAATTGTTATTGTAATTAATTCTTATTTAACGAGTACATTTAACAACTTAATAGGGATATAGTAAAAACAAAAAATATATATAATCTCTAATGGGCTTTTGTAAGATACAGCTGGTATACGGAAAGAAGATAATAGAATTCACTGTCCGACTGACGAAACATTATAAAGCTTTTGTGTGCAGCTGCTGCTACTGAATCCATTATGGATATTGAAATAGTCGTCTAAAATAGAAAAGTCAAAACTGTACCAAAATATTTCTTAAATATTATAAAATATTTAATTATGTTGATTACTAGAGATGAATGGACTCTAACATCATAAAAATCTTTCTCGTCAGTAAAAACGATCAGAAAGAATTTTAATAAATAAATGAATACTGAGGAATATATCTATGGATGTACTAGGAATATTATACAGATAGAATGAAATACGTTTCAATGATTTTGTCGCGTTCAATTTTGACTTATTTTTAACCAGCTTCTTACCCGCGACTTCGCTCGCTTGGGCTTTAATTTAAGAACACCATTACTGCTTTGTTACCAAATTAGTGGAGTGGACTTGTGAAATCACCTCGGTGTCTGTGCTTCTATGTTTTTTGTTTGTTTGAAATAAATCTTTAACATGCTACAGGAATACAGAGTAAGTTTTTCATAACTATATGCAGAATTGCTTTATGCATAAATAGAATTTATATGATTGGTTTTTTGACTGAGAGTTTTATGAGTGGATTTATATGCGTGGTAGATTTATGTGAGGTATAATTTGTGCCTTATAAAATTGCAAGCTGTGTGCTGGCAAAAAATATGTATGTCCCCGCTCGGCAAAGAACTACAATACAATAACAGTAACCATTAACAAAAGTCGATCATTGATTCTGCTCAAGTAGCTCTTTGAGTCTGGTTAAATATCGCTCGTTAAGAGGTTAGAGTAAGTCAGCTCAAATACTAATTTCGCCCCCACTTCCCCGCGCGTCGTATGCTATGTACCGAAATATTTGTAATCACTAATACTGTAAGTAGAAAGATCGTTAGACACTTCTTTCATTAGGTTTATCATATATATGCCTGTTTCTTAAAGCCAAGCCAGCCGCTTCTTATTTTTATCACGGTTATTTCCCATTTTAATTTTAGGTCGTACTGTTGCGTAATGTATATTCTGATCGTAAGCGACACAACTTCTCTCTTCAAAAGCCTAAGCGATACTAAAGCGGGCTACATACGACACGATATCGGTGGCGATCTAGGGTGGAAAGAAATCGGGGCTTTTATCGGGGTAGACCTTACACACGGGCCTGCCTAGCAGTACGCGTTCGGACTTTGAGCGGAACGCATATGCGTAATACGCATACGGCATAGTAACGCATATAGAGTTCTTCAAAATACCTCCGACTCTCTTAAAACACCACCGTGTTGGTTTGGCATTAGCCATCTCGGTTAATTTATTCGAAAATAGAAAAAGAGAAGTTGCTGGGTGAAAAAATGGCTCCAAAAGAGATAAAAATTAAGCCACATAAACGTACTAAATGGCCTGTAATCCAAGGACGTGATTAATTTTCTCCGGATAGATGACAGTTTTTATAACCTTCTAGAAATGATTTCGCCACTTATATAAAAACGTCAATTTCTCCTACCTATGCTATTTAGTTATTTCTTCTCTTTGTTCATTTCTGCTTTGGTCAAAATCTGGTTATGTATAACACACAACAAACAAAGAAATAAAATACTTTTGTATAATAATATGTATAGGTACTTTTTTTTAATGTAATCTTTATTTATGGAGTAAAACTATCAGAAAATAAAATAGCTTATATCTTTTTTTTAAACATAAAGAAACCTTTAATTTCGGACATACTCCCTTTTATATAACTTGTTTGTTGATGTGGAGATGGTGAAGGAGTAGAAGTTAGTTGTTGATAAGAGGATGAAGGCACGTAAGAGATCGAAGTGTGGTCTTGTGGAGTTGTAAGAGATATGAGTGCGGTCTTGTGTTGATAGCGTTGGAATAGGAGTTAGTTGTTGAGGAGAGGCTTTATCTTCTCCTTACTTACATCATACACTCTACTTTACGAACGGCAATAAAAAAAATTAGTTTAGTAGGCATTCTTGACCATGTCACTTCGCAGGGTCACAGGCTAGGGTGGATATGATTTGAATTTCGATAAAATTTCAATTAATTTATTTTATTCACTTTTTTTTTTGGTTTTTTGTAAAATATCAGTGCCATAGACTTCTACAACGTTTATATGATTAAAATGTAAAAATTTTGTTACATAAAAAAAGGTCATTCAGTATCACTGTTTTGATAACTTCCTTCCGCGAGGGTTGCCGGCAGAGACTGCCAAAAGAAATCGGGCCGATGCACCTACACACACGCAGTAAGGAGGGGGCGGTGCCCCGATCTAGGAAGCATCGGCTGATCTAGGAAGCATTTTTGCTCCTGCCAGCCGATTAAGGAAGCGATATCGGCCACGACTTAGGATGGCCCTACATACGACACGATTTAGAGGCAATCTAGGAGGCATCCCCACTACTCCACCCTAGATCGCCACCGATATCGTGTCGTATGTAGCCCGCTTAACGGAACGACAGGAATCAAGCTCAAGACGCCGATAGTTTAGGTAATTTCTTTTTACAGTGAAAATAATGGTATTTAAAAAAAAGTAAATAACATAAGCACTGCTTTATAGTTAGTTCAGTTAGTATGCAAAGTTTCATGATCTTATTTAAAGTATTTTATGAATAACAGCGGTTTATTGTTTATTTTGGAGGTAACTTTGGATTTTTTTTTCTATCGAGAAAATTTTACGAAATCGTGTTTTCGTTTAACATAATCACTAACATTAATCCTCAACTTTACCATATATTTATTTCAAAATTAATGCTGCAATATTTTCGGCATAACGAAGGATCTTGCTAAGCCATTTGACATTATATTTCTCGTTAACATCGCTTTTAATATGAAATTATTATTTAATTGAAAAAAAAAAGCCATACGCTTTCAATTAATTATTTATTGCACACCTCGAACGAAACGAACGGAAAGGTTGGGTATTATTGTCGACTTGTCAAGGTGCCATTAACTGCTATTAAATAGGGTTTATAACTTTTATTTTAAAATTTTACAGCCTTTCTAATAAAGATTTACGTACGTCGTATACTAGAGTTATAACGCTAACATTACCAATAAACTACATTTGACAGTTCAGGTTATGAAAAATTACTCAACCAATATACCTTTGTTTAAGATGAGTATACATACGTATGTATGTAATTACTTTAAGGTATAACCTCATTTGACGTGTGGCTTTTTCGAAAATAACGGATTATTTACAGTATTTTTGTATACACGTATTCGATGAAATCGACCGTAAGAAACCACCAAAAAATTATTTACTGAAAACGTTTCGATCACATTACTCTACAAGAAAAATATTTTACAATAAAATTCAGTAATATATATATATATATGAGAAATATAGTTGAGTTAGTTCAGTGTGACATCGAACTACAAGCTACACGTAGTGATTATGAACATACTATTTGCCACAAGCTTGTGGTGGTGGGATATCTGAAGAACTTCAGGTTTGTACTGTTCTTAGAACGTGAGCTAGACAAGAAGTTCGAGATGATGCTGCAGATATTAGTGGACTTAGCCAACAGTCTATCACAAATATATGCCGAAGAGTAAGTAGCCCTTGATTTGGTAAGTAAAGCAGCACGATTTATACGTATGCCTGGTAGTACTAGTACCTTTGAAGAGCAAAAACCACTGATATCTGGATTTAGAAAATTTTGCTTTAAGCAAGTGATTATTGCTATTGATTTCACGCATGTAAAAATTAAAAAAGTTGGAGGCGATAGTGCTCAATATTATATAAACAGAAAAGGGTTTTAATCCTTAAATGTGCAGGTAGTTTGTTATGCTGAATTAAAGATAAGGGACATAGTGGCACACTGGAGAGACAACGTACATGACGCAAGAATATTTAGGGAAAGCCGAATCCGACAACGATTTGAAAATTGGGAATTTCGTGCTCGTTTACTGGGAGATTCTGGCTACGGCTTCACAAATTATTTGTTTACACCAGTCCAAAATCCCCGTATTGCTAAGGAGAATCTTATAATAACTGTTAGTAATCTTATAAAGGTGTTTCCGAGTTTGGAAACCGAGGTTCCGATGCTTGTTACTTGGGTTTACTGTGTCACTGAAAAATGAAAAATTATACACTGTGGCACTTGCTATATTATACAATATTGGCATGAAGGATGAAGGCATCGATTACCTCGAACCAGTCATATCTGAAGATAATGGTGACCAACAAATGCTAAGTCGATCAAGTTAAGAAATAAGGAGATTATTCATTGAAACACACTATTAGTTACAAATGCCTTATTGTGGTAATTTTTATTTTAAAAATAAAATTTCTACTTTTAGTTTTTAAACTCGAAGGTAAATTTCTTATTTTACTAACAATATTTGTTTGATTTTTAAATTTTGTTCCTATCTAATAAAATTATGAACTTAACAACTACAAAAATATAGCATGCGCTCACTGTTATGCTGTCACCATCAAAGACATTGGAATTTCAGTGATTTCCAGTTCTGGGCTACAAGCTCCGATTACAAACCTACTAATGCTGGTGTTCCACAAGGCTGCGCGCTATCGCAAACGCTGTTTCTACTGCACATCAATGATATGTTGCAAGCCCGTAACATTCATTGCTATGCAGATGACGGCACTGGTGATGCTCGGTACACCGGCCGTGCCAATATTTCTCGGTAAAACGTCTCCGAGTACCGGGACAAACTTGTGTCTGAAGTCGAGTTTTTGCTGAACAAAGTCTCAGATTGGGGGCGACTAAATCTAGTCCAGTTTAACCCTAAGAAGACACAAGTTTGCGCGTTAAACGCTAAGAAGAACCCCTTTGTCGTATCTCCTCAGTTTCAGGGCAATCCTCTTGTTGCCTCAGCAAGTATTGGAATCCTCGGCGTCGACATATCGAGTGACGTGCAGTTTCGTGGTCACTTGGAAGAGAATGCCAAATTGGCCTCAAAAAAGCTTGGCGAAATCAGCAGAGCGGGACAGTATTTCATGCCGGCACACGGCCTGTAACTATACAAGGCGCAGGTTCGGCCACACATGGAATACTGTTACTGGGCTGGGGCTCCCCAGTGACAGCTTCTTCCACTTGACCGCATCCAGTGCAGAGCGGCTCGAATCGTTGACGACCGAATGCTTTCAGATCGGCTTGATTCACTGGCGCTACGAAGAGATGTTGAATCTCTTTGCATTTTCTTTCGCATATACCACGGGGAGTGCTCTGAGGAATTGTTCGGATTAATCCCAGCCGCCATATTTCGTGAACGCACTACGCAGCAAACGTCCCGATTCCATCCACACTATCTGGATGCTTGGCGGTCCACCACTGTATGTTTCAGAAGGAGTTTTCTTCCGCGTACGACCTCTTTGTGGAATAGTTTACCACCGGCGATTTTTCCGGACCGGTACAACCTGGGGACCTTCAATAAAAGAGCTTACTCCTATCTAAAAGGCCTACAACGCACCTGCAACTTCCTTGGTGTTGCGGTTGATCATGGGCGTTGGTAGTCACTTAACATCAGGTGAGCCGCATGCTCGTTTGCCCCCTCTTCTATAAAATAAAAAAGTAGTTTTGACCCTCCACCAGTACACTTGATAGATCATCTCAAAAACATGTCACTTGATGTGACATGCTTTTTTGTGCACGAAGTTTCATAGTGCGCCACTATTGCTTTACTTCAGTTAATTCTCTTTCGCGGATATTCAATTCACTAAAACTGAAAGTGTCTCAATCACGATTTGCATACAAGAAACGTGAAACGACATTCATAAAATATGGTAATTTACAAACATTTTCATTACTTTTGGCCAAGTAATGGTCTTATTTTTATGAGTATTTGTATCCGTGTTTTTATTTTCTGTTATGGATACAAACTCCTTCACACAACTTTTTAATAAACTTTGAAAGGTAATATACAAATTTCGATTACAAATTGTGACCACGTTGTTGCATATGTTTTTAAATAGTGTTTAGTAAAATTCTATCTTACCTTTTCTAATGCATCCCAATTTGCAGACAAAAATTCTATTGCTATTAGCCATTATTAAACAACTTTAGCGATATTTTTACAAATACCTAGATACTAACAAATTATAAAATCCAATCATCAAATTGACGATTGAATTGCAAACTGTCTGAAAGGTACGTTTATCAACTTATTACGGTGATAAATATGACTTTGTATATAAAATGTATAGTTTTTATCGCATAAAAAATATTAGATTATTTCTAAATTCAATTTAACAATATTTTGGGCTAAATTTACGTTTGTTTTTTGTTTTAGCGAGTTTATAACTACACAACGCTTGTACACCTGTTATTGGTAAAGAGCGTGTGCAACTCATATCCAAGCTCAAACAATGTATTAAGTACACAGTAATTGTTAAACAGTTGTTTTAAATATTTTTATTAGTAAGACTGTTAATATGTAACATTTTTCTTAATAGTTTTAACATGGAAAGATCAAATGTTCTAAGTTATTAAAGCTTCAGGGGAATTTGGGTAGGACATGAATATATGTCTTATTTAAATACACGTGTGAGTAAAAAAATTTTACTCACACGTGTATTTAAATAAGACTAATATGCGCTTATTGCGCAAAGAACAAAAATGAAAGTACGTCAGGAAATTTTTGTGCATTTAAAATGTCAAGTAATCGCAATATCAATATCCACAACCTATTTTGCTAGAGTCGTTTTAAGACTACAAAATATAATTATTTGATCAAAGTAACCTGTAAGTGTATGTAGTTGACGCCTCCTCTGTATTTGAATACTATGTAGTCATGAATTGACGAACCAAATCACACGAGCTTTAACCTTCCGGGGGAAAAATAAACTTTTTACTGGTATCCCATCCTAAAGGCTTGTAATCGGAGCATGCACCATGTACTACAACCTTGATGCTCCGATCTGCAAGAAAGCTGGTGATTCAATTGCTCAATTTCTCGGGTAGCTCATTATATGGAAGCTTCAAAAGAAGCGCTTTGTGCCAAACCCGATAGAAGCACTTCACAATGTCCTAACTAACCGCCGAGGCCTCCCCATTGGAATCGACAGCCTGTGCCCATCGGTGTGTTAGGTAAGCAAGAAGATCACCAACTGAGTGACCCCGATGGAAATCGTACTGGCAGTCACTAATCAACTGGTGCTACTCAAGATACCGCATGAGCTAGCAGCAATAGCAATAGGACTGTAATTGAACGAACGAGAGCGGTTACCTTTTTTGGGGATCGGGTGCACGAAAGCTATTTTTGACTATGAATTTGGGACTTGCCAAGGGAGTAAGCGTACCGGAACAGACGAGTTAGAAGCGGAGCCAACTCTAGAGCATACGTCCTCTGCACAATTGGAGGGATTCCGACAGGCCCACTCAACTGGTTTACGTCCAGGGAAAAGAGAGCTTTGCGAACCGAGCGCTGCGTAAACCACACAGCCAGAATGGAGCACCCACACCGTGTGATAGTCGGTGGTATTTTCCCCGTCATTGAGAGTCGAATTGGACGAAAAGAGAGTGCCTAACAGGCTTTCGCCTTTGGGGCATGGGCCAGTGACTCGGCGTCCCTGCGCAAAGATAAAAGATATAAAAATATTCCCCTTAAATGTAAGCTTAAATGCTTTAATAATTCTGAGAGATGGCTGGCAGACGTTGCCTCAAACAGTCTTGGCAAGAGAATAAATAGATAATAATCAACCGATTATCTTTTCCTCTCTGCTTCATCAAGATATTAGGGTGTTTCGCGTATTTCGTGCAAATTCCACGACATTTGTAAATGTCAAATTTATTGCCGAATAAGTTTTTCCCCCAATATCTTTAATATCCATAAAATCCTTCAACTTTTTGTGGTTTCTACCTTCCTTGTATAAATAACAATAAAATTACTATCATATCAAAAACCGTAATGAAATGGTAATGAGAACGTCCAGGAAGGGAATGATATTGAGTAGTTAAGTTAAAGGATAGGGATGATGTGGGATTTTCATCGTAGACATTGCAACTTAAGCTTTATAAAACACCCGTCCTGTTAGATTGTTTTAGTATTTTATTTATATTAAGACATTTTATCAACAAATCGACATTAATATAAACTTTGCAAGCATACGTATTTCTACTGGACTCCTTTGGGTATAATAAATATAATATATAATATAATAGTATAATAAACCCATAATGGGCGATATTTATAAAATCTTTGATACGTTACTTCGACATTCGAATTATGCGTATTTTTTTTTGTACAAATTAGTCAATGTGTCCGTTAAGTATCTTTTCTGCTTCCTTATTTGCTTTTTAGTTATATATTTTTTTATCAGCTGCAATTGTAGTCATCTCCTAATCGTCCAAAACCTCCAAAATTAGTTGCTCTTTCAAGTTTTCATTTTTAGCTGTCTTATTTTCTATTTTATCTCTTACTGTAAATATTTTTGTTTGTGTCAAGAGTTTATATTTTTTAAACTTTCCCTTTTCGTCATAACTACATTAGAGAATTCTTTCTTATCCTTTTTCCTCAAGCACTTATACCCTTCTCAAACACTTCTTGAAAGTATTTCACCAAACATTAGCCGCTCTTTAATTTCATCACGCTTTTGTGTATAAACATTTTCTACTAGTTGTTCTACTTTTTCTTTAGTCGATATATTTTCATTTTTCTTCTTATTTTGCATTATTCTATACAACATTTTTCTAATCATCTTCTTCGATTTTTCTATTTCATGTTTCAAAATGCCTATTTCTTTTTTATGCAGGTAGCGAACCTTTCTCTGAAGAGTATTTTCTTTAGGCACCCTTGACAAGAATTACTATTACCGTAATCCAAACGATTTAGATATGAATTAGGTATGAGTCTTAGAGCTGATTGAATGAGAGGATCTTGTTCAGATGGATGTACTTCATTGTTACTGTTTGGTGGAGAATTATCTATTAACAACTGTTGAATAGCTTTCTCTTTCTTTTTTCTTTCATAATGACGTTTTGAATTAACTCTTCACTTCTTCCTCTGAACTCTCAATTGTCTAGGTGTCATATCTTTTGCGCTACTTATTTTTTCTGTTCTTTTCTTTTAAGGTATCTTGCTCTTTCTTTTGCCTTCAAATCTGCATACTTTCAGGATCCTCCTTAATTTCTGCATACTTTCTTTGTTTTTTCATCGATCGCACTCTCGTTTCTGTTCTAATGTTTGTTTGGCTTTCTTTGGCATTATTAGTTCTTAATAATCTGTAACAACACATTATATGATATTGCT